TATCTTGGGCAGTGTCCTTTGCCTCAGTTTTCCACCCAGCAGTGGTAAAGTCCGATGGTCGAATGTCCCTTTAACACGCCACTCCCCTGTTCCCTCTGCTGCACCCCACTCATGGTTTGTTGTGTGAGGTGAGCAAAGATCCAGCGTCCAGGAGTGTGTTCGTGGGATCACCTCTCGTGCGCCTGTGGTGGGTGAGTGATGCCCTGTGACTGATGATCCTGTCACTGCCACCTCTGCGGCTGCATTGGCTGCTGTGCTGCTGGGTCCTTGGTCTAGTTCAGCCCAGTCCGGCAGTGCCATGGCCACCCAGCCCAGCTATTGGCAATCCCAGCTGTGGAATTTACTGGGTAGGTGGCATCTTTGATGCAGCTGCTCTGTCTGTCCCCACGCCCCTGCCTTTGGCTGCACTGTGGGGATCTGAGGTCCCACCGCCGAGCCTCGTTCTTTGTGATTTCAGTTCCTAGTGATTTAAGGGGGGCGGGGGCCTCACTGCTCCTCCGTCCACTCTCCAGTGCTTCAGCCCCTCCGAAGGTTTAAGGCTCAGCCCCAGGCCAGCTCATCGGTGATTTCAACTCTAGTGGTCACTGAGCAGGAACAAGGACTCTCTGTTGGGTCTATGCAGCTTCATCTTTAATCGCTGGAGGGGGAGGGTCAAATGAAATCTAGGACCCTTAAACCAAGTCCTTCCTCCCCTCGCCCCAGAAACACCTGACCGTCACTACCCCTCGCTTAGCGAGCAGGGTGGCCTGTCAATCGGGCTTACTTCTGGGGGGATTCTGCACCAAAAAAATTTCTGCACGATACGTTAAAATATGCTAATTTTATTTGTCAAAATAACTCTACATAATCACGCCAGTTTCAATTATTTTGGTAATTTATTTCAAAATACCTGTCAGCAAGTATGTCTGTAACAATGCAGACACACACAAATATTCCCCCAGGAGTAGAGAGTTAAAGAAACCTCTACAGCCCAGTTCCTGTTGCTCTACCCCCTTCCCCACCGGAGGGGACACTCACTCCCCCTCCTCCCCAGAGCCCAGCCACAGCCCAGCCACACACAACCCCATGCCCCTGAGCCCAGCCGTGACCCCCATGGCCCGCTGGCCTAGACACACACACTGGAGCCCAGGGATCCACAGGGAGAAACAGCCTGATGCTGGATTTCCTGTGCACTGCCCTCTCCTTCCTTCAGGGCATGCTGGGAACTGCAGCTCCTGGGAACCCTCCAGTTCCCTCCCCATTCCCCCGGCTTTGTCCTGTATTTGTGAGATGGGCTCTGAGGGTCCAGTGGCCCCTAGTGGCATCTCTGAAGCCCATTTCTGTGGGGAAAAAAGGAAATTCTGCTCACCCAACATTAATTTCTGCAAAATTCTGCACTGCGCAGTGGCGCAGAATTCCCCTGGCAGTAATCAGGATATGCTATGTTCTGCTGCACAGGACTCATACAATAAGGAGAACAACATTTCACCTCCAAGAATTACATGAAATTTAACCCAAAACAGATCACCTTGACAAAGCAGGGCTGTCTGCTGAGCACACTGGCAAAATAGGTGTGTCTATGGAAATGTAGTATGCTCCTCAGCTCCCCCAGTTTACACATAGGTGGCTGGGCATTCAGGGTCACTAGGGAATGAGGTAGCCAATCCCCATGAGGTGCTGGGTAGGCAGAGTCATGGAACGACATAGTCAGTCCCTTCAGTTCTCTCCAAGTACAATAATCTCCCCGGCTGGTGGAGAGTGTTCCCAGTGAAGTCCCTGCCTCTTTTGGCTCTGTCCAGCCAGGATTAACATGCTGTAGTGGCTGGGGAGGGGTCAGTGACATTATCTTCCTTATTTGTCTCCCCACAGCACAAAGGTCCTATGGAACAGAGGCTTCTTAGAAACAACCCTACCCCCCTAGTGCTGCTGGGACTCACTCAGGAGTTATAGGGCATGGGACTTCAGTTGCGTGATGGTGATTTGCATCAGCATGGGGGATCTGGCCTGTTGACTCCACTTGAGATGCCCCAATTGACACCAGGTGGAACCTGAGCTCATTTCCCAGATGCACTGAACACACACACACACACACACAAACCACACAATAGTTTTAGGGTGGGGTAGTTTATTTATTGATTTATTTTGCAGAGCACAAGCGGAGTCCAGGGCTGGATGTCATTCAGGCGACCCCAGTCGCACGTGTGCTCTAAGCTGCAATTTCCTGGTTTCACATGCACACCCTTGGGTGCGCTCCAGCTCAGACCGCCCCGCCAGGAGCCTGGCTGGGTGCTGCCACCCTGCCTGCACACTGGTCCTCCCCATGAGGACTCTAATGGAGGTGGTAAATGCACAGGCACTCAGGAGAGATGGGTGATGGTAGCAGAAGGAAGCAAGACAAGGAGAGTCACAGAACAGTCTGGATGCAGGAGGAGGCCAGTGAAATGCAAGGCAGATGTAGCGCTGAATGGGTCATATGGGAGCATAAGGAATGGTTCAGAACTTGGGCTAACAGACCAACCCATCATTGCTAGGGAGGGGGACAGGTAACCCCCTGGTAAGAACAGGTAACAAGGCAATGGAAGTGCACTTTGCTGGTCACATCAAGACATACCAGGATGTACCAGAGGCAATCTACCCCTGAAGCCCCTCAGCGAGGGCAGGAGGAGAGGTGAGCGGGAAGAGAAGGTGCTCACCAGTGGAACGTGTCAAAGCCTGGGGATGCCACTAGGATAATGAAGGCTCCAATTATTTTTCTTCTACTCTTTTTAACTATGAATAAACCTGAGGTCCAAGCTCAGTGCACAGGCCCACTTAGAAGCCATTGAGCTTGATCCCAGGACAAAGAGCCGTCAGCAACAGCAGTGGGGAGGTACTGCCCCCAGCACGATGCAAGCTCCACCTAGGAATGCTTGGGAAGGTGGGGGGATAGGGGCTGTGGGGCGGGTGGCTGGACACATTCTTGGATGCCAGAGATGACTCTTCCTCTTGCTGAATTGGAAAGTTTTGCTGCCCCGCTGTTTAGCACCCATAGGATCACAGCACACACAAAAGAGAGCATTTTGTTTGCTTAGGGCATGACAAATGACATGGTATGGCTCTGAATACTTCTTTGATCTTGATTATAATTAGCACCATTAACATGAGCGACATTGTTGTTCATCATGAAAATAAAAAAAATCAGCTTCAAACTTTGGTTAAAAAAGAGACAGTCCAGAGGGCAGTTTGTACCAACCGCTCAGGGCCTGCTTACAACCATAGAGTGGCAAGAGAACAAAACAAACCAAGGAATATCATGGGTGTGTGTATTGGTGACGGAGAACGTGCGCATTCTCCTGAACTAACATATCCACCTAATGAACCTGTCGAAGAAGCCGGGTTGGGAGAGGCTGACATAGTCCTTCTCCCGGAAGATGGCAGCTCGGTCCCCTAGGCCAATCTTCAGCAGGACATCCATGTCCACATCACTCCCGAGGGCCACCACTGTGGGCATGACGTCCTGCTTCTTCATGGAGTTAACGGCCTCATTGAGATTCTTGCTGCCCGTGATGCCGTCGGTAATGAAGACGAAGGAGAGCTCGGCGTTGCGCCGGGCAGCTCTCTGCTGGTTCTGCGGGTTGATGACGATGTTGTTGATGGCATGGATGATGGCGGAGCCGATGTTAGAGGAGGAGTCCAGGTACTTGATCTTGGACAGGGCCTCTGAGATGTAGGTCAGGTTGTATGTCAGGGGGAAGATCACCACCTGCTCTCTTTCGCTGCCATACTGCAGGAGGGCGATCCGCGCATTCATGTTGTCATTGTCACCCCTGGCCAGCGTGAGGCGGTGGGACACCTCCTCCACAAAGCTGTGGGCCCTGCGGAAGTTCACCTCTCCAGTTCGTTCCGAGCCATCCAGCAGGAAGACGATGTCAACAGGGCGCTGTGTGCACTGTGCCACCGCCAGCTCTGTGGGCAGAGGGAAAACAGTCACCTCGAGCCTGGGGAAAAGGAGCCAGAGGAGGGCTCCACCATTTCCTCACAGTGCCTGGATTGGACAAGAGTGGTGTGTTTGTGGGGGCAACCCCCCGCTGCTTCCCTGGAACCCCAACCCTCTCCTCTGGGACTCCAAGCCCCTCTGGCTGCTCCCCACCAGGCCAGAGTTGCAGTCTTGAGCAGGGCGTGAGGCAGCTGAGGAAGGGCTGTGACCATCCAGCCGCAGCGAGGAGGGCAATGGTGCCACTCGCTCTGCAGCCACCCCAGCCTCTCCGGTGGCAGCCCCTGGTGTGGGGTACAGGCCAGCACAAAGGCTAGCAGACAAAGGCCAGGGAGCTGTCTCCTTGCCACAGCCCAGTGGAAGGAGAAGCCCCATTCAGTGTCAGAACAGACGAAGAGGGGGCTGACTCTCTGCCCTTGCCCGGCCCGCTGCTCCCCGGCAGCTGTCTTGTATACCCAGTGGTCTGGTCATTCACTGGGGCACTGCGCTACCTGGGGGCACAGGCCGTTCTGCTGGGTGTGTCTTCGCTGAGCTCCTCTCATAGAGCCCCCGCACGCTCAGGCCGGGGCTGCTGGAAGGGGGAGAGTATAACAAAGCCTTGTAGGGTTTGACTGGTTCCCTGACGCCTCCCCTCCCCGCCCAAAGCCCCTCTGTCCCGGGGCTGAGACCTGTCACCAATCAGTTCCAGCAGGGATCCTGCCCCAGAGGAGCGAGACCGGGATAGCTGCAGGCACCTACCGATTGCAGGCGCAAGGGATGAAGCCATGGGGGAAAAGGCTGTTTAGACTCTGCCCGGCCTGTCCTCAACAAGTGGGTTCTTCCATTGTGCCGGGCCAGGCCCCTGAGCCCAGCTGCTGGCTGAGCAGGGCGCAGAGAGCTCTGTCCCAGGGGTGGGGCTAGGGGCAGTGTCAGAAAGGGGCTCACCAGTCACTCACCTCAGGCCTGTGCTGTAGCCCGCAGCAGAGAGGTCAGCCTGAGCCTCCTGCCACCCCGTTCAATGGCCGGGCGCCCTCAGAGCCGGTTGGAACATGGGCCTGCTCCCTGCCTGGCGTGGAGGGGCATGTCCGCAGGCTCCAGGCCCATTCACGTCGCACCCACACACCGGTGGCTCCCTGCCCCGGGCTGTGGGTGCGGCTGCCCTTTGAGTCAGGGGGATTATGCACCTGCCTCTGTGGGGATGAGCTGCCCCCGAGATCCCTGCTTGGCATGGCCTGATTTCGGGTGAGGGAGGGAAGGGCCCCCCTAGGCAGGAGGCTCCCCCAAGGTGGGGCAGGGGAAGCAGATCTAGACAAGCCCCCCTCAGCGTTAGTGGTCCCTGGCGTCATGCTGCCGCCCATCATTTGTCTTCCCAGCTGCCAGCCAGGCTGTGGGTGCAGCCCAGAGGTCGGGCCGACGTTCCTCCTCCCCCGTGAAGGATGGGGGCTGCTACCATCAACTACCCCATTGGGATGTGACAGGAGGGCTGCCAATAAGCTCTGAAATCTGCCACCCCCACACTGGGAAAGGAGCATCCCTGAGGCCTGCAATAGCCAGCCCAAGGCTAGCAGCATGTGCTCTTCACAGCCTGCTGCAACTGCAGTACGGGTCCTTCCCCTGCAGCGTCCAGAGCGAGGCGGCTACGGCTGCACCAGGTCGGTGCAGGTCGAAAGGAGACAGTGGGTAAAGCAGATCAACTGAACAAGCACCACCAGTGCTTTGCTGCGGAGAACCCAGCCTGTCCCACACAGATAACCCAGCCTGTCCCACACACACACTGACACACCCCTGCTTCCCACACCTAACACCTGATTTTACATACGGGGAATTCCGAGCTCTGACAGAACCACCCACTGCCCTGTTCGCAATTCTGTCCATGTCTTTTTATTGTTTCCCTTCAATGAAGAGCCCAGCAGCCAGGGAATCCCTTTGCCATTTCACGGTGGGCAATCTCACGGCAACCTCCTACCCTTCCCCCACGATCATCTGTCCCCTCAATCCCCCCACCTGTCCGCTGCACCGTGAGACATGGAGTCTGCGTCAGAGTCTGCCTGGGGGCTGCTAGGGCCTTGCCAAGAGCACGTTCTCCAGGCGCCATCCCCACTCACTGGCTCAGAACTGCGCAGAGATACTGAGACTGCCCTCTGAGATACTGTTCTCGTGTTCTGGGGACTTAGATTTCTTCTGATTTGTTTTATTCCTTTTCTGGGCGAGCTCCGCCAGGGAAACCAAACAACTAGCTGCAGCCTGAGGGGGAGGAGGGATAAACTCACCTGGCTAAAACAAACTAAACTGTATTGACTTAGGAGCCGGTTCAGCAAAACACGTCAGGCCTCAGGCAGCCCCGCAGAAGCCAGACGGGATTCCTCCTGTGCCAACAGTTATGCGTCGTTGGCTCAGGCCAAAGCAGCAACAATGCTCTGAGTTTAGCGCTTCTCAGCCGCACCCCAGCAAGCTAAAGCCACAGGCTCTCTTTGGTGTCGCACACCAAAATGGTGGTGGTGTGTGTGAGGGGTTGTTCACTTCACCCCACCGTACCTACGTTGATTACATCTAGAGACGAACAAATGGAGTCAGACACTGGTAGGACCTCGCCCTGCTCCCAACCCTTTGCCCAAAGCTCAAGCCAAGCCAAGCCATTCAAAAGCCTGGCCGAGCATTGTCAGCCCTTTTCTCAATATTTGCCAGCGCTGGGATTCTCTGAGCTCCCTCCCACCGGGCAGGCTGGCAGCAAAAGGGCCCAGCTGCAGAGCAAGAGGGGCATCTGCCCCACCAAAAGCAGAAAATGGCAGATGCCAGCTGACATGCCTATTGCCATGCAATGCTCAGCCTGGTTTCACAGGCCCCAGAGCTCTGGCTCATTCTGGTGAAGCTCTCGTACCTAGCCAGAATTTGGGGTGCAGAATCACAAAACATTTCTGAGGTTTGCAGACTCCCAGTTCCAGCTCCTGCTTCCCACTCCTGGCCCGGCCTAGCGCTCTGGCAAATGTACCCGCTTCAGGCCCTTGAAAGCAGACGGCATTATAGCCCAAACATCACGGTACGATGGGAGGCTCAGTCCAGTTCTGTGTATTTTTATCTGCATATTAGCTAATGAAATGCACAAGATAGCTGAAGTCATCACATTGAAGCTACCTCAATGTCAGGGGGCTAGCAGAATTCACCCACCGGAACCTAATCTTTGTACCCCGTACTCTTTGGTCTGCTCTTCTGTAGCTATGGGGGAGAGGTTTGAAAGCACAGATAGCAGCATGGTGCCCAACTCTCTTTCAAAGTCAATGGGAGTTAGGTGCCTTTGAAACTCTCCCCATGTGGTCCCTTGGAGCAGGTTATAATGACCATGGCTCCCATCATGGGACTATAACGTCTCTGAATCGCGTACACAGCTGGTTAGGAACTTCCCACGCACAGAACTACAGCCTGTTTACACCTATTGCCGAACATACATACGGTACATTATTATACTTCAGGACGGCGCAGTCACTGGGTAACAGCTTTTAGCTCCTTCTTCCGACATGTGCTGTATTTTCCTGCCTAGGACTATGCATGTGGCTTGTAGGACAGTGAGAAGAGCAAGTCCAGTTTGCATACGACATGCAGGCAGAATGACAATCAGACAAAGACACATGGCACGTGTTGAGACCAGGGCGTTTTCCAGCAAAGGCCAAGGGAGACACAAAGGGGGCCCACCCTGAACCGCTCGCACTGCTGTCTTTTCTTTAATAGCACAGGTTACAGCGCAAGTTGAGTGATTAAACATTGTGATTATAGCAAAGGGGGTAGCGTGCTGGGGCTTCTCGCTTGGGAGCCTGGCCTCTCTCGGGGCTGGCATAACCCACGGAAAGCCCGGTTAGTTAACACAAAAAGAGAACACAGGAGAAAATTCGAGGACAATCGGAACAAAAGCTACGTAGGAAAAGAGACACATGTTAGCACACATCCCTACACCCATCGCTGAGAAAGGGCTCGCTCTGGCCCTCTGGTACACATCGGCAAGCAACCTCCCTGATTCCGCCATGGAGCCCAGGCGGGACTGAGGGCTGGGAGGGCCCACAAGGGCTATTTGACAAGCTAGCCTGTCATTGTGGGCTTGGCGTGTTTAGAAGGACAGAATAAGAGTGTCTCTTCAGGACAGGACAGCTCCTCTGCAAGCACCCAACGTTCCCTTAAAAAGTGCTGCAGAGATAGTGGGTGAAGCAGGAGCATCTCTCCTGGTTTCTGGGAAGATGCACTGTGCTGCTCTGCCAGCCACGCTGAAGAGAACCGCCCCTGCCATCAAATCGCTGGCTGGGAGCAACCGAGATTCTCGGGGCTCCTCCTAAGCTCAATGCGTCCATCACGGTACCCAGCCCCTCATGGGAATTCTCCAGAGGCACTGTTTACAGGGAACATTGCTTTTCCCAAGAGCGCCTGCTCCAGCTCAGCGGCCATTCCTTGTACATTGTCCCTAGTGCAAAGCTCAGCAGAGCCCCAGCACGGTTTCTGGATCCCCCACAATTTCACTGTGCACTATTTTAAAAGTGTCAATGAACAGGTCAATCCACTCCTGCCGCTCATGTCCAGTGGCAAACTTGGCGTTCTCGGCGGTATAGGCCAAAGTGGCCACCAGCTGTCTGTACATGCCGGGGTCCTGGATTTCCCGCGTAGAGTTTAGGAACTGGGCGATTGACTCTTTGGTGGAGGGGAAATGTATCTTGACCTCCTCTTCCATGGGGCGGAAAATAAGTGGGTTTGGATTCCCAGGGTTCCTGCCATCTGCAAGTGAGCGTCAAAAGAATATTTTCAGGGCTCGCTAGCACTGCTGTGTCCCCCACCGCTGCTCAGTTCTCTTACGTAACCTGCACTGTAGGAACGACAGCCAGCACGGGAGGGAGAAGCAAAGACCAAAGCCTGGAAGCTCCGCTGCAGCCCTATCTCACAAAGTGAAGGGAGAACTGCTCGTTGCCTCTCATGGGGTTTGGATTGGGCCCTTAGACAGGACTTGGAAGAGGATTTG